AACCTTATCGGAATAAGGAAAAGAATTAATATGTCAATAGAGAAAATTACGCCGGAGCAAGAGCAACACATCGAGAAGAAGATATGATTAAGAAAAAAAGTTAGTGATTACATAACTATAATTATGATTTAATTAAATATAAAGAAATAAGGGTAGTTGGATATAGGCTAGCATTTGTCGGTCATGATATAATACTATCTTGATGGAAGAATAATGAGAGAGAAAGTAGCATGGCCATTGTTAATTGACAGGTCAGATATTATTACTAACATTACTCCCGCTTTTTTTTTTTTTATTTATTTATCTTTTCTATCGTTACATTTTGACTTTACTGATTGCGGTGTTATTAGATTCGACTTGAATTGAATTTGCAATATATTCCGTATTAATATTATTTAGAATTATGAGTACAGAATATTACTCAAATTATATTGAATATACCTGTGATTAAAGATGTGTATCGAAGACGGTAACATACGAGTGGAAAAAATGGGAGAGAAAATGGGTAAAGCACACGCGCACTTACCTCATTGACCGTTGCTTCCTAGCAAAAGGGGACCTTTTTATAAACAGTAAAGTAGTACCTTTTCTACTTTGTATATTAAATAATGAGCTGTATTATTGTACATGCGCCCTCATTCATTTGTTCCTGTTGCATCATGCCCAGATCATCAGCTTATCCGTCCACCTTTCCTTTTTTGTGCATGCATTGCTTTTCATCTTTTTACTGTTGCTCAACGGTCGAGCTAACAGTTAGTTTATGGAATATTTGTATGTAACTGTAATTGTTAAGAATGTAACTGACCAAGTCACACTGCATCTGCCAAGAAGGAAAAGAATAGGCCCTATATTGCCTTACTAAATTCAGGTGAAGATAAAATCATATTCCGTATAAGGATTAGTGAAGATTATTATTCAAGAACAAGGAAATTAATTATCTCTCTCCCCTATTCTCTCCCTAAAAACCCTAGTCTCCTTTGTTGAATTTTGGAGGGGCTTCCATCGGTGGAAAGCCCCAATCTTTGTTTTTTGTGTGTCTTTTCTCTTTGTTTTTGTTTGTTTTAGATTTATAATAATTCTTCCTCTTCTAGGAGGAACGTTTCTCCCTCGAAAAAAAGGGTTTTTCTTCTTCTTTAGGAGGATTATTCTCCTTTAAAATAAAATATTTTTCTTCTCTCTTTTGAGGGAGGATTTGCTTTTTTGTTTGATGGATTATTGAAGGGTTATTTCATGAGTAAAGATATGTGCGGGATCAAAAAAGAGGTTAATTTTTCAATTACAATAAGACGAATCAGGCGAACATTTTTTTCACTACTACAACGTATCGATAGACCCCCTCGTCGAAAAAAGCTGTAAATCACAGCAATGTGAAATAGGGTATAAAGAATGTATGATTTGCGACAACGATCGTAACTTTGCTGAAATGATGTTTTTATTTAATTACATTGTCATGTATCTGTTAGATATAAATCTCTTTGTAGATGTCGTATGACTTTTTATTTATGAATTAATCTTTGTTCAAAAAATAAATAAATTATTATTCAAATTCAATTTACAAATAAATAAAATAAGTTTTAATGAGATTAGATAATTTCAAATAAATTTAGTTAATATAGTTAGGTGAATCATTTGTGGTGTTAAAGGTCGCAAACATTCCACAACCAAAAAAACAAAAAAAATTGTCTCAAAAATGATTTAGTAGTAAGAAAATAAAAATAGAAAATAGAAAATTGAAGAATGAAGAATGAAATTTTAATTTTCAATTGCTTGGCACCAATTAATGAGTGTCACATCATTTGAATACTACAACTCTTTGTTGTTTGTGTTTGTGACCTTTAGCATTTTTGTGTGAAATTATTTCTCCCTTCCTTTTTGAGCAAGTTAAAATTGCAATGAATTTTAATGGTTTATTTTCCCTTTTTTATAACAAACTTAAATTAGAGAAACTCTTATAAAGAGACAACTTTAGTGATAGTTGAGACTTTTTCCCCCTTGTACTTAATTATATGTCTTTATCCACTGAATATGACCATATAGTTGATTAAAAAGTATTAAATTAAAGAATTAATAATGTGGAGCGGAGGCAATCACTTGGAAGAAAAGCATCAAAGTTGCGGAGAAAAATTAGATTTGATGATTCCGTGCCAAATTAATGCATAAAGCTACAAATTGAGGTTATAAATAATTAAAGATTATGTATAATTGTATACAACATACAAGTATATATACTAAAGCTGTTGACAGAATTATCAAAAGAAGGACAACGAAATTTTTGGTACAAGATTAATAATAATGCATGTAATATTTTGTCTATTTTTTGAGCCATATGATGATGCAAAAAGTGTAGAGAAGCAGATAGCCAGATATTGGTAACAAGGTCCAGCCAATGCAACGAGCCCACCATACATGCAACCCTCTTCTCATATCATTGATTATTTGCAGTCATTTGTCATTTTATTTTCATAATCTTAGTATTATTAGTACCAAAATCTAGAATAATTATACCATCACTTTGAAAATGTTTAAAACTTAGGTACCATATATTGTTAGCATTATCGACGCTGTTAGTAATCCCATTTTTTTTTGAAATGTAAATTATGATTTATATGATCATTATATAGAGCGTGTTCTATACTTCTATTTACTTTAATTAAGATTAATTTTAAGTCTAATTAGGGGTGATTATGTTCAAACAGGTAAAAATATAAGATGAAAATCAAAGCTAATTACTTATAAGAAGTTAAGTTGACGCAAAAAGTAGACAGCTTTACAGTCAAATGTTGTGAAGTAGTTTCAAAGAGATGATTAGATTAAATCATTGATTAAATACCACATACAGTACAATGATAATGTATTCTGTTACTGGTTTCGGGTTAGATTAATTGTCCTTAGCCTTACAATCATGAGCTTTAAATTAGGTGATTGAGAGTGAATAAATAGCAACGAGGTTTGATTGAAAGGCAGAAATGAGAGTTACGGTTGGAGAACATTGAATAGAAAATCATGAAAAGAGTAATGAAACTGTACAAAATTATACTCGTATATCTTTGCTGTTGATTGATGGAAGAGGGGGGACGCGGAAACATGTGGGTACTACTGGAATAATTTCTCTTCACATGCTCTCTATTTCGGACATTTTTTCATTTCATTGGCAACTCATATTCACTTTCTTTTTGGTTCAGTTATTTATATTCCAATCTGTATTCCATACATTATTATGGAGTCATCATTTTGTTTATTATTAATATAAGTCAACATTCTAATGTATGGACTCAGTTTCTAGAATTTGACTTGCTGCATCTCCTACATTTGGCAACAAAAGTCTACGATTGCCAGTACATACATTCAAATGTTGGCCCAAAAGTCACCTTACATATTACCAATAAAATTGTTTTTTTTTTATTTTTTTTTATTTTAATGATACGGCTAGTTTAACTTGTGTTTGTAGACGTGTGTTAAGTTATAAAATAAGTATTTTTTGGCAATCTTACTAACAAATTATATGAAAAATCTTATGAAAATAAAGTACACATGAGAATGGCGAACCTAGGGTAATATATGAATTCTTTAAATTTAAATTTTGTAAGTATTTTAAGATTTTCATTTTATTTACTTCATATTTGTCAAAATAATTTAATTACGCAATAATAGAAATCTTATATTACCTCTGTTTCTTATTATTTACAACAAAAATATTTTTTATATCTCACAAATAATACCGTTTGTTACAAATAATAAAAAAAAAAAACAAAGGTAATATATATATTATTGTGTATCTACATTATAAAATTCCATTAAGAATTGTATAAAATGCTTCCTATTATCATTTAAAGTAAGATAAAACATTCTGATGCTCCTTAAGCTAATAAATTTGGTTACTTTCTATCATCAAAAATATAAATAAAAATGAAGTAAGATAAAACAGAGATAATTAGGTAAAAAAAGGATTATTGACACCGTAAATCTTGCAGAATTATTGACTGATGGTGTTTAACAAATGTAATCATGCATGCAAATCTAACGTGGCAAGCACTGAAAACTTGCTTTGCAAACGCCACAAATTTCGCAAAAGAGCCGTTATCTAGTAATTATCCACGCAATCATTCTCGTAAAATACAAAACTTGTTGTCGAGTCTTAAATGACATCCAATAAAGACTATTAATCCTTGATTAACCAACAAATATTAGTAATCGGGTAATCTGATGCTTAAATTGCTTTTAAGAAATTATTGGACTTGGGGGTAATGTATTGATTAAAGGATAATAATATAATGGCTATTGTTATTACGTGTCTACGAAACTCCAAATTATGTTTATTTCAAGAATATTACCGATTAAACGATCACTTAAAATTATCAAATAGTTATGCAAATTATACACAAGGTAGATGAACTTTTGAATGATCACTCGAATTATGACAAAAACACAACTCCCAAAGTCGAGGAGATTATAGTATACTAAAACAATCAGGTAGTACTAGAACAAACGTATTAATTAAATGACAATGTAAACCAAAATGTAGCATGGTCCATTATAGTTTAATGCAGGCGCTAAATTTGGGACCACATTGGTAGTTGTTATATCACTGTCTATACGGGCTATATACCCCTCTAAATTTAATTTGAAATTTGTAACAATTGATTTTCCAAATTAATGAAGACTTTGAAGAAACTATACCAACTAATCTCTCCTACCTACCGACGAATCCAATGATCAGCTGACCTCAACTCAATTCTAGTATGGCCCGCATTTGGGCTGGACTCTGTCAATGGCTCCAGCACTGACATTGACACTTGGTTGCGTATAATAACTTTTAATACTACTTCCGTTTCTGAAAGTATTTTCACTCGTACAAGTCTCTATACATAATGACTTAAGTAGGATGAGAGTCTAGTCATTGTCATTTGTCCAACATACATCGGAGGGAAATTCAAGAAAGATCCATCGAAAGTTAAATCATCAAATGAACTTATATATGCACTATACTGGAGAACTCTGAGTTATGAGCAATGAGTTTCTTGTCATTTATATCAAGTCTTTGTAATAGGAAACTGATAAAGAAACAAAATTCGCTATCACTAATTCTCCAACAATGAAATAAATAAAGGATGAATGAACTTCAATATAATGAGCTGATTGAAGGGATTGAGTAATGGGAGTGGACAAGCGACCACACCATTTAACCAAAATCTCAACGATTATGGAGAATATGTTTATTTATTTTCTCCCCAAAATTGTGATTTTCTTGTGATCAAGAAACATATGTATGTGTATGATGATTGCTGTATAATTAATAAATGAATGAATGAACGGCATTGCATGGCATGGCTTGTGATTGACTTGACTAGACCTCACTCCACTCCCATTGCTTATCCTCTTCCACCAAATGAATTGCTGATTTTCTCTCTTTTCTTCTATATGTTCTGGTTTCCTACATACATAAACACAATATAATTAATGGTTAAAACAAAAAGGAAAAAAAAAATGAAATTGCAAGAGCCTATGTTCCATAAAGGGAGGCCAATAAAGAAGAACGTGGATGAAATTCTCATCAAATGGAGTAGTAGAACTCACAAGCAAAAATTATCTGCCAGGTCTTGACAGATGCTGTCACACTGGCCTCAGTTGCATTGTTGAATAAATATAGCTTTGCATCTTTGTATATTGCTTGTGTTGGGTAAACCCGGGATGTGATGCAGGTTCTACCGCCTTGGGCAAATGCTTCTACTATTGAATGATCCACCTGTTTCCAAATGACATGATGTTAGATTTTGGCTAGAAGCCTGGAGGGGAGATTTAACACAGAGTATATCAAGTCAGCTTACAAGAATTCTCATGGATAATTTTTCGCCTTTGAGTACTGGTACTGTGCTACCCAAGATGTCTTTGGCAACATCAGTTGCTATAGATGACCTGCATATATGTATCATCAACCAAAGAAGAGCTTAGGCATGTTCGCAATTTAAGAAGAAATGATCAAGAACAATCAGAGCTATGACATGTTTATTTAAAGATTTACCAACCTTGATAAATCAGTGCAGAAGAAAGTTTTGAAGTTGCCACTAGAGGTTTTGACCACATAGAAATAGATGGGAGTCTGTTCAGAGAGATCATTATCAGCAAGAACCAATAACCCGAAAGGACCAAGAGCACCCCTCTGAGCGGCTCCCTTGCTGGCAGGGCAGCTATACTTCTCTCCTGTAACAGGTAAGCTTTCCAATGCCTCTTTTTCAATATCGAATTCTGCAGTTATATCCATCTGTAGAGTAACCAAAGCATGAGATTATTCGTTTTTGAAGCAAGGCAAGATTTTACCTAATCGGCTCTACAATTAAACAAAACAAATGAGCTAATAAAAAAAAGGTCAAAGAATGAATCAGAACCTCTGTAGCAGAGCTGACATCCAGTTGCACAACAGATCCTGCAGTAACTTCAATCCTGTCAAATTCCTTGCTGTTGTGTCTAAGGGTTTCTAATTCCTCCACGGGCCATTGAACTAAGTTGGTTTTAGTCTTCTGGTCGTACAGAACAGTTCTTGGAATTCCCTGTATAATCATCAAGCAATATAAATTACAAACTTGTCTTATAATTCATTATTAGTAAAACTAGAACAGAAAGAAAAAATTTGTAGACAATAATTTTACCTGGAGAGATGCCCATCCTTTCTTTACATCAGCTGCTTCACTGTCACCTTCTGTGATCCAACCCCACAAGATCCTTCTCTTCTTTTCTTGGTCGTAAAATGTCTTGGAAGCATAAAATCTTCCATAGTCATATCTAAGCCCAATGCCAACATCAATGGCACCATTATCAGGAACCCATGTACCATTGGCCTCACTATAGGTTCCCAGCGCATAATAATCATTCCTATCATCATCCATGCTTGCCTTGAGCACATGTTTCACTAATGGACCGTTAATGGAGGTATCAAGCCCATTTGTGTCAGTTAATGAGACTGGATAGAAGTCAACACACTCCCACATACCAGTGGTTGGCACAGCATGGAGAATGTTATCCAAGAGCTCAAAGTTCTTAAAGTCAGTGGTCTCATACACAAGAGAAATGCCTGTTTTGTTGATCTTGGACCCGATTGTGATCCTCCATTTTCCCTCTGAGGTCAACCAGGCAGTTGTAGGGTCACGGAAATCCAATTTGCCAATTCCTGGAGGAGGAACGAGAACTGGGTTACCAGGGTACTTGACCCATTCAAGGAGAAGAGGGTCAGACAAGTTAGCTGGATAGGCAAGATTTTGGACTTGGACTGACTCGTTAGTTGATCCAGTGTAGAGCATCATGATTTGACCATCAGGTAGGATGGTGGCTGAGCCAGTCCACACGCCGTTGAAGTCATACCAGCGATCTGCCACCATGGCTATGGGAAGGTGTATCCACTGTATGAGGTCCTTTGACACAGCATGGCCCCATACAATGTTGCCCCAGACTGCACCTTCAGGGTTGTACTGGTAGAAGAAGTGGTACCACCCATTGTAGTATAATGGACCTGTTTGATAGTTTTAGCTTCATCAGATGTGGGATGCAATTTTCACTATAAATTTGCGAGTAATTAAATCATGTTATTGAATGAAATTCGGGATATCTATGCAAGTATGCAACTTTCTCTAGCCTTGCTAGTGTAATCTAAGTGAAACAATGAAGCCTTGCACATGCCAATTTGATCATAGGGGAAAAGGGCAGTCACTTTGGTTACAGGCTTACAGCACATATGTAATAATTCCAATTTGAAGCATCTACTTTTGTCAGCTGAATATTATCCTTGTTGGATAAAGTATGACACTGATATCATGATCTCTTTTACTGAACTCAACTGATTATACTCCTAGCCAAAAATTAAACTCCTAGTTAATTTTTTCTCATCAGCTAAAACTAAAATTTTTACTGACCACATCTGATATATGTTGATTGAAAAAGGTGTTTATAAACTGAGAGAACAAGGTTTTCAGACGGTTCAAACAATAACAACAACGATAAGAAAAATCATGTTTGAAGCTATGCATTCATAGGTTACAACATAAGCTACAAATGACGAAACTACAGATTCAGATTGGAGGACATTTCTTACTTCTTAGTATTCATATGCTTATGAAGTTTAAGACAATCAAAATTATGCATATTGCACAAATATGTTATGCTATAAATCCATGCAGACAGCTGCTATTTTATAAACCTTAACTCTTTGTCAAGCAAATTGAACACATGACAGATCATAACTTAAAGGAGGAGCAACTTTACCGTTTGGATCTGATGGCGAACAATTCAACATCCACAGCAAGACCAATCACCAACGGCGAAGATTAAGAAAACGAAAAAGATAATGTTAGAAATTCCAAAGTTAAAAAATCATCAGAACCATACATTGGCATTATGCAGTTTAGAGATTATGTACCATACTTTTGACTTTTTGTATATAATATGCTTATACCGTTATGCCAGGTAGTAATGCAACAGAGCCAATGAAGCAGGACACTTCTTCTTTTTGGTATTTTTGATCAAAGAATATACTTGTACTTCCACTTATAACATCATGGTGTATTATGTTAATCTAAACCTAAAGTACTCCAACAAATCAAATTTTTTTAACATACACTGTCATATAGATATTGTAACAGTAACACCCCCTTTTTTTTTTTTTTTTTTTTTTTCACTTTTCTATATTAATAAAACCATACCTTTAGCCTAGTTACATTCACATGATTGCATTGCTAGTTGTTAGAGCTTATTCCCATTGGCCGGCTCATGTCCATTTCAATAAATTAGATCAAGGTCAATCGCGTTGGGTCATAGTGTGATCTATTAAAAATTAATTTCGTAATGAACTAAAATGTATCGGGGCAAAATCAGTTCATCTAGTTTTCATTAACTCATTAAGTCTCAGTTTTGAAAGGTCTAGAAGCTATTACAGATTATTATCTATTATGTTATCAATATTAAAGCTATAATAATAAGTTAATAAGATAAAAAAAAAAAAAAAAAAAAGTACCATTCATCCAATTCTTCTGTGGTTGAAAGTGAAAAGAAGTTTTCTGCCAAGCTAACTGGAGATTATTCCAATCAAAGAAAGGCAGCCTAAGGCCGCGCAATGGAAACCCATTAGCCTTCTCTGAGACACCATGAGGCTTACCACGCGTCACCTTAAACAACAACTCCTCTGACCCCGGCACAACTTCTACACCAGCCAAGTTCTCAGGTGGTGGCCTCGACAACTTATAATCATTAGGCTTGACACCATCATTGTCAACGACAATGGGCTGATTATTGTAATCCAAAAAACTGACGATCAATGCACATATCATGAGTCCGGAAAAAATAAGCACCCCGATCTTTAAGGACCGTCTCCTTTGTTGTTTATCATCACCCGAACCAATGTTACATTGGTCATGGCTTGGAGCCAATGGTGCGTAGGAGTAAGGGAGGGTAGAATCCGATGAGGATTCAACCATTGTAGTGTTGCTTAGATTTGTAAGGTTATACAAAGTATTTGGATATTGATAGGAGTTTGAAAGAAAGGTATTTTTTTAAAAAAAGAGACAGGATGGCAAATATAAGTGATTTGCCAACAAGTAATAATGAATGTGAATGAGAGAAAAAGTTGGTTTATTTATAGTGTATGTTTGCTTGAGATTTGAGAATCACATAAAATATTTATTTACCTAAAGAATGGTCGCTTCTTCCCGCTTGATTAGAGAGAGAAATAGAGACATTGATCTATGTTAGGGAAGTTGCATTATATTATTAATTATAATGTAATATTGAAAATCTTAGATTCTATTACTTCTGTTTTGTGTGCATGAATATAACCCAGGAACAACTGTAAACTTTCAGAATATTCAATATATTTTATTCACTGCCCATTAGGCCAATTGTATATGCCTTACTTTTTTTTTCAATATTTTTTTTTTCAATTATTTAGCGTAATTTTTGTTTCTATGGAAAAGGTTGATTTATCCTTAAAAAAAAAAATAGTTGATTTATCCCTAGCTTCCTTAAAAGTTCCATATAGCCCAAAAAGTTTTAAGTTATATAAATAAAACTACATAAAAGTTTTCACTAGGAGTTGCAATTCTAGAGGATAAAATTTTGAAGAGGAGACAAATTTGAGGACTTAAGGAATCTTTATTGATAGCAATGATCCTCAAAAACACCTTTAGATAAGGTATGTAGCTCCTCCACACAATTTTCCCATTAATAATGATAATGACAATTTATAAATTTATATACACATGCACTCCGGATATGTATAATGTTCAATTTAGGTTTTAGATGCAAATAATGTGTGGCGTTTTAAATATTTACCAAACGGAGTACTTCCTCTAATCCTCTGTATTTTGTCAAGGTAACAAGGAGTGATTTATAAAAAACGAGTACAAAATAGATTAAAATCAAATCCTCAACCTCATAATAGAAAGGACAATACTCACAAGAGTCACAACCTACCACTACGACCACTCGATTCTTTCAGGGGGTGTTTGGTATTTGGGAATTGAGGGTGGGATTGGGAGTTTTAATCCCAAATCAAGAAAAAAGTTTTTATTACCTAAGGAGGGTAGGTAATAAATGGATGGAAATGGGAATAAGTTTAAAATGACATTTTTGCCATTAATGAAAACCATGAAAGAAAATATTAGTAAGGGTAAATTTGTAAAATTGTTATTTATTTCCTATATATTCCAACTCACTATCCAAATAAGGTATTGGTATATTTTCATGAATTCCCAACGATTAATTCCCAATCCCATTCCCACCTATTAATCCCCAAACTCCCATTTCCACATTCCAAACGCCCCGTCAATATATTACAAATTATCAGTTGATTGAAATCATGGCCAAAAAGGTATATATAAGACTAATTAGTAATTACCTAATACTGTAATATTCTGTATTACCAAATAATTTGGAACTGGTAAAACCAAAGCAAAAATATTAATTTTGGCGATCTACAGTATCAAAAAACATGCTATGTATTGTGATGAATATGGTTAATATTGAAGAAGACAAAAGGAAAACAATAACATAATCCAAACCACCAATGAAGCCAAAGGTAGCCAGTATGAATAGTAAGTAGACAGGTTGAATGATTGATGGGGTGGCCTGGGTTTAAGTTGGTATTAATAATTGATTATAAGGGCAGACAAACCATGTTAATATTGGGTCCTATTATGCACATGTTTGCTGTGCACTACTCTCTTATTCCTAATTTCTTAGCTCCCTCACATCACATGCTCCTCTCATTTTCTCTCCATAATTGTAGCAATCAACGTACATGATACATCAACAGCGGAACGTGATCTGGATTATGGATCCACCCACCTTATTACGAACTCGGAACTCCTACTATTAACTTACACGTATTGCTTTGTGGTTAATTTATCTCCTAATCCCTTGATAATCGCCTTATTTTATTGTGTATGTTGTACTTGTGTTATTTTAGGAGTAAAATGGGGAGGGATTGGAGAAAAGGACTTTCAATCAATCTGAGTTTTAAGGCTCAAACAAATACTGTTTTGATGTAGAGTGCCCTGTTCAACAACTGGCAATCGGATTTAATTGGTTCATTTGGCTTGTTTGACTAATGCAGTAAAGCTAATATGGACCTAAATCTTTGGTTCTCAGAGGTTTTGGGTATTAGCTTTGCTGTAATTATCAAGGTACTGTATAAATCTTCTCATGTTAAGCTATAACGCAGGCCTGTCTTATTTGTTTTAGTCAGATGCAGTCACTAAGACCATGTTAAAGCTTGCAAGTAGTTTTAATGTCAGTAAATCTTTCACAGAATAAAGAGGATATTTATATTTATGTCAGCTCAAAATGATTACTGCAAGTTTCTTACAGTAGTTCAATGATCAGACACAGCTCAGAATATAGTAGTCAGTGGATTTGGCTCAGATAAATTATTTCTAAAGAATGAATCTCATAGCTGGGGTAGTAGGTTTTTAACCAATACTCGCTTGTACCTTATTTTTTTGTCTCATTTGACTTTTCACGGTCTCCAAGACGTGACTTTAAACATATATATCTCCATTTATATATGCGTAAAAGTTATAAAAACTTGATATTAATAAAATATACTATTAGACGATTCTAACAAGATCCCACGTGAATATACTATCACTTATAGATTCACGACAATTCATGGTCAAAGTTATAAAAATTTGATCCATATATTTGCAATGGGGCAAACAATAAGGGACGAAGGGAGTACAAACTATACCGATGACTCTCTAAATAATGGATCTCCCTTCTCTCTCTCTCTCAACAAGATCCCTTCCACATCTTTATCCCCAAAAACTCTATTTTCGTCAAATATATTAAGTGGCTCTTGGCCAAGAGTCATCTACTCGATCACCAAGAAAAATATCACTGCTACGTGGTTATATGATTAACAAATTAGACTTATAGAGTTAACATAGTGAATTAAATTCTTCCAAGTACCATCATGAATGTTTTCCAAATAAATCTAGGACCACAAGCTGAGGATAAGAAGCTGATGGAACTCATATATATCACAAATATTTTCCTTGAAATTAATGAATAGTAAACCATTTATGTTCGTGTCAAATGACATTCAAGAGAGATGACCCCCAACTGGCCATCCCCAAAGCACAAAGAAGCAAAATAAGTATTCTAGTTTATATTCGACAAGTCAACAGTCTAGATAAGTAGAAAGGATAATATCTGTTTATTCGAGATAGCATTCCATCTCTCATCCAATAGAGGAAAAGACAGAAAGGCTGTTTATTTTCATAGATAGAAAGATTAGCTGAGTCAAGTGGTGAATGCATCATTTTACTCTTTTGGAAGAGAAAATTAGTCCTCACTTGTAACCAAGAGCATCAATTATTCACACATTTGGGGGTGGCCAAATCTTCCCGAATAACTCCTCAACTCTGTTTGCTTGATTAGAATAACCATCAATCCCAGCAGTGAGAAGGTCAACTGCAGCAGGCCCCATCGCTGATGCCAAGCTTCTTTGGTCCCACTTCACAAGCTGACATAAAAGAAAAGATCAGCATCCCCACCCTCAAGTGTACTACTCAAGATGTAAAAAGTTTAACTTAATGGTAGCAATGTTAATACAGCCTTTGGGGGGTGGAATTAATAATACCTTCAGGGAATCCTGGATACAATGATCCCTTTTGATATATAATACTTAGTACTTCCTCTGTTTTCTTTTAAATGCAACACACCTTTTTGACAAGCTTTTTTAAGAGGTGATTCGAATAGGTAAACGAGCTACTTTATCAAAATAATTTTAACACTACGATTAGAGAAGGGTTAGCTAATATGTGTATAAATTATTTTGATTAATTTGTCTGTTTACCTACTCTAATCACCTCCTAAAAAAGCGTGAAAAAAGGTGTGTTGCATTTAAAAGAAAACGGAGGAAGTATATCTTTACCACATAGACTTTCTGATTTTTTAGATTGGATCTTACTGTCTCATCTAAGATTACTCTTCTTATGTTTCTAAGTTCTATCTATAACTTTCACTAAAATTTATAAGTTCAGAATTATTTGGTTAACGCAGGGCAATTTACATTGACTAGGGCTTTGGAAAGCAGCCCCAATTTGACCACCAAAGATCAATAACAAGGTCAACCAAACATAATGGGATAGCTAAGGGCTAAGGCTGGAGGAAAAGAAAACCTAGCCCACCCAACCCAAAGTCCTAGGCGTCCTAGCTCACCAATCAATAAGTCTATAACGGCTAAAAGCAGGGGTCAATTCCACAGTACCACTAAGATTTTAACATTTGTCTTGGTGGGTTTGTGACATACACCAACTATGAACCAACTCAGCTTAAAAGATGAATATTCCTACTAATTTAGAGTGAAAAAAATCAGCCCAAATTGCCTTTTTTTTTTCTTTTATATAAGAATGCAGCAGAGACATTAGAAAGGCCACAGAATTACTATACAACAAGATCTCATCAAGCAATTACTTCATCCTTAAATATATAGATTTGGATTGAGCAAAAAAAAAAAATAGTTAGATTCATTTTAGATCACAAGCACTCTACTACAGAATCATTATAATTTGAAGATCTCATCAAAAGCTCAACAAGTACACATGCAAATATGCAAGCAAGGATGGAAGCAAACCTCTTCTTTGCTGAACTCATAAGTAGCAGCAGATTGTGGGGATAGCCTCCTCGTGAAAGCATATTTCTCATCAGGAGAGGTTATAGATTCTTTTAGTGACCCCAGTACCTTAAGAGGTGCTATAATGTAATCAACCCTGCAGATTGAGAATAGGAAACAGAGTAAAAACAGGTAGTACTTCAGAACTCAAACATTTAACAGGAGTAGCATTTTAAGGCTAGTAGGTACTCCTACCCAAGAAGACTATAGAGGTCCTGCTTGTTGCGAACTGCTGCTGCCATTAGCTTTGACTTGTGACCATATTTATGAATATAGTTGTATGCTTTTGTCACCTGTAAAGGTTCCATATAACGAGACAAGGCTTAGTGAACAAATTGTTCCAAAAGACCCGACTCCAAATGCAACATGGGAATGTATAATTACAAACCTAAGGTTAATCCAAATTTCATAAACTACTTTTATGAGAGCACAAGGCAAAACAAGATTGTCCACTCAACTGCAGACAAGCTTACTAATAAACTGCTTGTAATAAAAATAATTGTATAAGAGTAGAGGCAAAAGTGTAATTGTAAAGATTCAAGAAAGCAAAACAACTCATTTGATTTCTTCCCACATTCAAGTATCATTGACATTTAGTGATAATGACATACAGAGCTGAACCCCCCGCCCTCTGTTCAGTAACACAACTACAAAAGGTTATACAATACCAATCACTAGGTTCAGTAAAGATAAAAAAGAAAAGTTCACGGTAAAATCCGTTAACTCTGATTGTATCAGTGGCAGCTCATTCACACATTTCAAATGATATTTTTTCTTAGTTCAAAGATCAAATGTCTCAGTTCAAATTAAACTAATCAGTTTTGAAATCACTACACATGTAGACATTAGCAGAATGGAAGCAGTAATTTAGGAAGTCATTTGTAACTCACCAAAGCCAACCCAGGATCTTCCCCTCTTTTAAGAGCGGCATCAATCTCAGAGTCCCCGGAATGATTACGTGCCCAATCCTGAATAACTACACAATATTAACAAAGAAACGAGACACAAAATTGCATCCAGCTCAATGTTTCCTTTTGATGGAAATTTACCCTTATGCGACCAACAAAAATCTGAATAACAGATGCTCCAGCTTGGGCTGCTGCAGATGCTTGAGCAAAGCTGGATGATCACAATAAAAACTCATAAGCGACATGTAGCAGCAGCCACATGCATAGATTTGTACGTATATCATGAAATCATCCATACCTAAGACCTAACCAGAAAAAATCAACCTAATAAATCCGTCCATCAGAATATTTGCCACTTTTGGAATCAGCGATTTACAAGGTGACAACAATTGTCAATTGAGAGGTGGAAGGATTGATGTACACCCCCAAGATAATTAAATCCAAAACAAATAGAGTTTCTTTCTTTCCTAGCTTCACACATTAGTAACCCTATAGTCCTAGGATTTATTATTTTAATTTTATTTTAAAGCTTGAACTCAACTAGAATGAAAGCAGTTTCTGTGGAGGTGGTGCATGAAATATGTATTAGCACAGCGGATTTAAAACGACACAATATGAAATATTGACGAGATTTAAGACAAACAATTTGCAACTTTGGAGATGGATAAAATGGTTATAAACTTATAATTCAGTTAGCTTATATCCATTATTTACAAGAGAAACAATCTAAATTTTCCCCAGTGGTGGCAAAAAAAGAACTATCATATAAATTAATTTGATCCCTACAAATCACCAAAAAAGCATGAGTTGTTATATATCCATGCCTGTAAACACAAGTCAAGTGGGTTTGTATGCCCTCAGATTCCAGAACCCTTGCAGCCTCTATTCCCTGAGAGCATAAAATCAACAATTGTAACATTAGTTATTAACAATTGGTAGGTTCACACTTACACAGCGAATGGATCAAACAAATTAAAAGATATTGCTTCTAAAACCTGCCATGTTGAAGGAATCTTAAATAGCAAACGCTCTGCGGGGACTTCAACATCATTGTATAGCTTCAAAAGTTTGTGCACCTGAGATTTTGATAGCATAATAATTGTGATTTTGAACTAGAAGAATTATTTCATGAATGACAATCTACGATGCTGGCTTGACATGTACTATGAATGTTATTGAAATCTACTGCTCCCTATATTCAACACTGTTTGCAAGGTTTGGAATCTGAGACTATAGTTTGAGTCAATTTACAAAGCAGCTCAAAATTGATTTGTGATAGAGCAGCTTTCATTTACAAAATTATATGTTCAAAGAAAATCATGCCATGTCAGAGGTTCACTCCTTCCAAAATAAACAAAAAAAATGATAAAAAAAAAGAAAATACTCCCTCTATTATCACAAAGGTGTCTTTTATAGTTGTGCATACTCAAAAATTGAATGGCTCCTTTACTTCACATTAAGTTGGTATAAGACACAATAAGGATATCAAAGTTCAAGTCACAACAATAAATTCAGAAAAATCAAATTCAAGTGAAGAGAACATACCCGAACTATTTTATTGGTACTCTAAGCTGACATATAAAGTGTAAAGTGCATCAATATGAGTAACACGCAATGTGAATTTTTTATTTTTTTTGTATGTTAGGTGGACATAAAAAAGGAATGAAGGAAGTGCATTTTACAAACAATGTAGCACAGATAAGCTCGAATGGCACAGTGATGAGATGGCTGGATGCCTGAATGGCCATAAAAGCTTAAAGTGGTATAGCATTTCCACCTCTTGCGCACAACAGCTGTACATACTTCTTAAGTTGAAGTTTTTCACTTAAGACATCTTGAGGAAGACATCAAGAATGAGGAATGGATGATATACCTTTTTAGTGCAAAAAGAATGTACTATGGTGATGTTTGGTTGGCATTAGAAAATGTGGGAATTGGAAAATCCTAGGAATACTAATTAGGGAGAGTTGTTTGGTTGACAAAAAAAATGGTGGAATGGGGAAGTAGAAAATCCTAGGAATTTTCACTTGCCACACAATGTAGGAATTTAATTACCTAACTCCCCCAAGGTAAATAGAAATTACTATGGGAAGTTATTTCCCACATTGCAATTCAAACAACTCTAGAAAAATCCCATGAATTTAAAGTAAGCAATTTAATTCCCACGGATTCCAAATTCATGTGAATTTCTACTTCCTTTGTTAACCAAACATTACCTATGTATAGATAATTGCGACCCAGTATTCCATATACTAAAATATCAGATGCATAATTGATTGTAAAACATTATTTAGGTTTTGCAGTAACTTATTATTCCCCAATACTTTTATCAGCTCATGCCCAAGCAAAGACACTCAATATTGAGAATTCTTTCCTTGATTGTAATGCTTTGAAGATTTGGAAGACATGTATGCTTGTCAAAGGAATTGTTTCTTTGTTTTTTTTTTTTTTTTGGGGGGGGGGGGGGGGAGAGAGACTGTGCTCATCCATTAAAACTAACATATTCCATTCACAAAGAAGAATTGTTGATGCTCATCCAGTAAAAGCACTCCAATGGAACAGAAAAACTTTATTCATATCGCTAAATTAGAATTTAAAAGGCATTGACAAGTTTAATTGAACTTCATTGATGCACCATTCAAAGAAGATCAGAGTATGCGAGTAAGTACAATACCTTGTGAACCATCCCATGAGTGTCGTAGGCTAGACGAGAATCCACTTCAGTCGAAACCCTACCAGGTACTAGCTTAGCCAAATCAGCACCACAATTCACCAGGGCCTATACATCCCCAAACAATCACAAATCATAAACTTGATCCAGCAAAAACATTCAAAAAATTTCATATGAAATCAAAGAAAATAGGTGAAACCTTGTCGTAGAAACATGACAATCTAGCATCAGACTTGCCAATAGTTGCACACTCAGAATCTGCCAATGCAGTATCAACCGCACTCTACAACCAAAATTAAACATAATTTTTAAATTCATCACATAAACAACAATTCAATTTTCTTTAAATCTTCTCAAACTTTTCCAAATATAATCTTAATACCTTGAAAATTGTATCAGGAAGACTCAAAATACCTAGCAAAAGCGACGAACTAACAGTAGCAGCAGTAGGTGGAAACCTATGATTACACAAATAATCAAAATCAAAGATAATCAGACAATCGAATCAAAAAAGAAACAAAAACAAGTAATTAAAAAGTAAATAACCTTTGGAAATCATCGAAAATGACGGTATCGGGAACAATCTCGCTAAACCTCGAAACAGCATCAAGTTCAGAGTTCAAACCTTCAAATTAAATCAAAACAATCATAATCACAAAAAATCACAAACTATTTTGAAAAATAAAAAAGTTGAGCAAAAAGATGCATTACCAGAATCGAGAGAAGAAGAGAGATTGTTCGCAGAAGCACGAAGTTGAGGAAATGCAATTGATGATCGTCGGAAGTTGAAGGTGAGATTAAGGCGAAGAGGAAGCTTTGATCCTAACCCCTGTTGCCATTGAAATTGCAGAGATGTTGATGAAAATGGAAACGGAGAAGAAGAGAGAAAAAATAAAGAGAAGAGTTACCTGAAGAGGAGAGGAGAGAGATGATGGCGGAGAAGACAAAGTTGTTGCAGACATTTCTCTTTCTGTGTGCGCGCTAACTCTGATACTGTGTGAGTGAGTAACAAATTTATCAAGAGGTTATTTTTTGTCATTTTGGCCGATTTCGGGTAAATATTTATTTTTTCTTTACATAAAGGGGGGAAAAAAAGTTTCCTTAAAAAAAAAAAAAAAAGTTTGATCTAAAGTTACAACAATAGGTTTATCGAACATAGAATATGATAAGAGTGTGGTTTTGTAATCGCTTTAACAAAATGACGATCGGATATGTTACCTAGACTCGGGTATTTATATTCGATATGAGTATGTGTCTAACTCAATTAATTTATGGAAATTCTCATGATTTTAGCTTAAGAAAATAAATTGTTATACTCATGTTTGAGTGTCGAGGATTAACATAGGTATTTGAGATGAAATGAAGAGTTTGAGTAACATAGTGGATACTATCTTATAAACTATTGAAGTATTATATGATTTGTTATATTTGAACTAAGACATGATTTGACCAGTAAATATTTCAAAGAGCAATAGAATTTCATTCAAATAAAGAAGCATTATGAAATTTATCATGTATTTTAAGAATTCACCAACTTGGTGACAGGGGCATGGTTCGTTCTTGACAAGGAAAAGGGAAAAACATGTAATCTAGCTCAGATCATTGTGAAAGGCCATTACAGAAGTGATATTGCTTTAAGGGAAACACAGGCATTATCTCAGTCTTGAATAGAAAAGATTTATGGTGGCGTCGTATGGTATGTGGGTTATACAAATATTGGTGTCTTTCATGGTTCTAACCATGATTGTTTTGGCATAATGATTCTGAATACGACACTAAAGAAACAATTGTTACTCCATGGGGTGGGGTGAGGTGGGGTGGGGAGCGGGGGTTGAAACACAACACTACAATAAACACAAAAGCTAGCCTTGGGATTAATCACTTGACAAAGATTTAAATTGAGATTGCTCTCCACCCTTAAACATACATTTACTTTTATAGGTGGGAGAGATGTGGAAATTTTTTCACAAAAAATGAAAACTTGAAAAAGAAGAAACTAAATTACAGGCTTCAACTAGAACTTGTGAAAAATGCAGGCAGCCTTTGCTGCATAAATTGAAAATCTTATCACTAGCCTAAAAATATATAATCATAAATCCTATAAATTAATTGGTGCTGCTCTTTTTACTGTGGTGATGCTCCCTCCACTGCACTAGAGCCTCCAAAAATTGCTTTACCTGCTCATCCCAAGCGTATAATATATGATGATCAGATACTTATTGCCTGAATGAACATAATTCGAGTTTCACATAAACAAATAACAAATTTATGGCCAAAGATTAGCTACCTCTGAAGTGTCCTTGAGAGAGTAGAATGCCTTGGTTTCTTTTGGGATTGGGGATACTAGAATACCATAACCCCGGTCTCCATTCCGTAGCACCTAACAAATATTAAGGCATACAGTTACTATGATTTTGTTTAACAATAAAATTTGAAGATAAAATGTGTAGCAAAATATTGTGCACACCTTAAATGCATCTTCATCGGTCTTGTCATCTCCTATGAAAATTGGTAGCACATCATCGCAATCACTTAGGCCTGCATTATATTTGTGCAGAAGATACAAGAATTTTAGCAAAACATTTCACAATGCAGACATTTTGCCAACAAAAGAGGAGCCTGAGTAACGCAACTCAAGCCGGGGGGTTGAGGGCAAAAAGAAAGAAAAAAGAAGCAGAGTGAGAGAGGTGGAAAATACCAAGGGATTCAAGCAGAAATTCAACTGCTTTCCCCTTATCCCAATCAATAATGGGTCGAACCTCTAAAACCTACATATTATAAACCAAACACACATCAGAATCCACACAGCTCACTTTTGCCAAAAGTCTATAATACAGAAAATAAATTGCTGAGATGCTAGTACCCTTCGCCCGTGAGTTAAGTGTAAGCGAGGATAGCTTTTAAGGATGTCATGAACAAGCTGAGCAATGGTAGGCCAATTCTGCAGTTCAGATTACAAAGCAGATACAGTAAGGTATTGTCACAATTACATAGTCATTTGTTTGTTTAACAAAATCAATGTAATCTACTCACTTTCTCATCAACATTACGGTAATGTACGGATGCACAAAACTTGTGGTTCTCAACTTTCGCTCCTTTGATATCCTTAGTCGTGTCAACAAGGGTGTTAAAAACCTAAAACGATGGACGATAAACATTAGTTGCAGATTCAATAACATGTTAACCCAAGTAGCAGGGAAAATTTTAAACTCAAGGAATTACCCACCTTATCAATCATGGGCAAAAATTCGCTAGCAGGCTGAAACAGACTAACTTCCTTATCCTGCAAAAGCAAAACAGACAAATGTAAATCAAATTGAGACCATATTTATATATGCCAATTTACATTGAAGTAAAGGCTCCAAATCTCACTTGCTTGTCAGTAGAGTTATTAGTGTTAGAATTGCCATCAGACACTTTGTGCACGGGGCTCATGATATCCATCCCATGACTACCGGCATAGTGTAGTTCTGCCAGACCTACCAAATCACATACCTGAGGAAATGCATGAGGAATACATTACATTAATATCAATAGTCCTGGAGCATGTCCAAAAAGAAAATATGGCTTTATTAAATACCTTATCACGGCTTCTTCCACTAATTATCGCTGTTGGAAAATACTTAGCAACATTTCTCACAGCAGAGCGCATCTGGTTATTTGACAAATTCCATAAAAAAGATTTAGACAAAGCTATAAACACAAAATAAAGTAAAATAACATATTACCAACAATTAGAGTTCCTTACATCATCAGACATAAGTGCACGATCAGGGTCATCGACAATGGGAGAAAGGGTCCCATCATAGTCCAAAAAGATTGCAATCTTCTTGCCCTCAGCAGAATCGAAGATTTGCTCAAATGAAGTCAAGGCAGATGGATGCTTCTTCTATAGAATAAGAAAAAACAAATTTTAAACTTGTTAGAAGAAAGCCAATGCACACTTGCTACTTACATAATAAACCAATAAGGAAAATATGTTACCATCCAAGAAGAGTAAACAAAATCAGTGTCATCTGAAGCAATTCCAATATTGAAGTCCTTAAGCAGCTTCTTGCGAGGAGGGGATGAAGACTTCATGGCATCTAACCAACCATTAGACAGAACATCTTCAAGCTTGCCAGATTTTTTCTTAGGAATCGGTATATACAACCCCTTTGAGAATGATGTTCCGGTCTTTGAGTAAGGCATTAGGCTCGAATGAATGCCTACTCTCTCCTTGATGGGAGTGGGATCAGCCAGAACAGGGGAGGTTTGGCCTGAAATCATGTCCAGCGAATCCAGTTTTGCTAGTAAAGGTTACCTTAAAACTAGAGACTAACTTGGCTTCTTATATGAATGTATTAACTAATCAGAATTAGTAATTGAGCTACGCAAATGTTTTAGTTAAAAATCTCAACTATCCGACCCTCTTGTCGATGAAAAACCACTTCTTTAACGTTTTCTTATTGCTGCAACTTGAAAAACTGTTCATCAAGCAAACATTCCCTGAAGACTAGTAAAAGAAACAAACATATCTATCAATTCCAAATTGTTAAATGCATAGAAGCAAAAAAAAAAAAAAAAAAAAACACACACACACACACACAAGACAGTACAAATGTCTGCACAATAAATACCTTTGCATCTCGAATCCTAAGTTGCATTTACACAAAATAGCTGCAAATCATTTCCACCTAGCTCAGAGGTTTAAATTCTTTGTTTAATCCTGAAGTATAGCACATAATTAGCTCAACTAAGTTCACGCTTAAAAATCGCAATCACACACAATGTGGTTATCATAATATAGTGTTTTGTCTTGTCAATCCTTACATTGTCACTTCTTGCAATCGAAGTGGCACTAAGAAAGGAAAGACAAGTTGGTGTAGGGAGGGGACAACTTTATAAATTGAGGAAACATGCAAATAATTATGGGGCTAGCAACCAAGTAGTGACCATCATTTATACAGCAATAAATTAATTAATGACCATCACCTTTCTAACCTTAGTTTATTTCTCCTATTCTATTCATTTATACAAACCATATATATACGCTCAACTACCGATGACAGGCACAATCTAAATGAGCATGTAACTGTAATACACCATATCATAAACTTGACATAAACAATGCCTTTTTTGCATAAATTTCCAAGTTTCAAAGCAGAGTTGGATCACAACAAGCTAAAAGAAATTAACTATGTACTCCGTAGTAAATAAGATGTACTAGCTTACAAATGCATGTAATCATGTAAATGTACTTGCTTACAAATTAGGAAGTAAATCTTCTCAAAGATTTCAAAGGATTGGCAAAAAAAAATCCAATGTCACATGCTACTTGGTAGGATTATAAAGTTAAGAGTAAAATTTTTAATGGACCAAACATATGGAAAAAAAGAGGAAAGCCCCCAATACCCTTATTTTAAAAAAGTAAGGTAGACATTTAATATGCTAATAATTTGGCAGTTCAAAACTTATTTATTTATGATAAGGTCCACTTTGTCCCAAAGAAACTATTCACAGCTATGTCACCAAAAATCAAGCAGTCGGCACATTAATACACACTACAGAAAAATTATGAAATTACTTCAAATGAATTGTCACTTTAGGCTGTAAAAACAAAGTTGATTGTACCAAAATTTTTATAAGACAACAAAAAAAACATATAAGAAATAAATGAACCACTTATAAATCCCCACCATCCGTTAAAACAGAATAAATCCTGAGAAATTAAAAAGTTATACATTATACATACACTTCCAATATAGTGTTGATACTTGATTTACATACATTAAAAGTTTCCAGCTGGTATTCAAGAAAAAACAATACCTTCCTACATCTAGTTTAAAAACACAACAAGAGACACCAACACAGTGGAAAGCGTCTTTGGACTAACCTTTCATATAGCCATACCATTAGGAAATAGAAAAGGCCAAGATGATATGGAAGACAGTCCATAAGAAAATATCGTAATCTCTCGAACCTAAAATCACATTATGGTTATACGAAGTATGGAAGTATTAGAGTTAAAATTGTCGGGTTTCCCAAAACAAGCTTTCACTTTCCTTTTAATTGCAAATAAGTTAAGATATGCGGTTTTTTTCAAATCTACTCGAGTCATTGAAAGGCTATTCAATTCGATCAACCGTGTGTGGCTAGCAATTTGGGATGGAAGGAGTACATACTAATTCATGAACACCATAAATAATTTAACAAATTAAGCGTGCATACTTGAGAAAAAGACAAGGCAGGTATATATGCATATCATCACAGCAGCCCTCGAGTTGGAAAGGCTTTACAAATTAATTAAACATGACAATCACACATATAAAGTTGAAATTCAAGATAGACCAAACTTTTGACAATGTAACTTGGCTGAAAGTCAATTACACCCATAAAAATTTTGAAAAACTTGCACAAAGTCTTCTCCTTTATAAACTTTTTTCTATAAGTAGTACACTCCTACAATCAAAAAGGCGTCTAAAATTCTATTGCCAAACAATTACAATTACAATTGGTGCACCAACTTAGCAGAAAATGCAGCATAATTTGATAACTAATTCAGTTATTAACCATTAATCTATACTTGTATAATATCAAAATCAAATAATATTAGCTAGACTTGAGTGTGACATAAATTAGGTGAAGCATAAAAGGCTACAGCTAGCAATTAGTTTAATGCTGTATTTAGTTACTCATAAAACGTTGTGATGAAGAAAGATAATAACAGCTGACTAAATTAATAATATTTTTATGATTAAGACATGTTTGTGAAAACTTGGTCATTTTCAAGCAATGTCCAAGAACTAACTTCCAAACTTATGGTACTAAACCAAACCCATTCTATGGACCGACCGTACCATATACTATTTCAGGTCACTGTAACATACATGGCTCTTGGATCAGAAGCAAAGACCACCTGAAATAAAGGTAATTGGGGGTTGGGTAAACTATCATTTTCCATGACTAAAAAATTGCAAGTAATAATTGTCATTTTCTTAGTCGTTTATAAGAAATGGGACCCACTTTTAATATCCCAGTTATTAATGGTAAAGACTAAAACTTGCAAGACTAAATAATCAAAGAAATCAACAAACTCTCACGGGTAGTTATCCTCGACCATGCAATAATTGCTCGTGATTAAGACGCTATAAATTATTCAATTACATATTGAAATTGATGTAATGTAGCCTAGAATATTTTCAAGAAAGAATTAGTTTTTGACAGGGTTAGTTAAAAACAAATTTACAAGAAAAAGTCAAGCTTCTACCTTTAGAAGCAACCAAATAAACAAATTAAATCAAGAAACTCATTAATTCAACCACCAAATTTTTTTTTTGAGAAAAAATTATTACTTTATTGAGTTATTCTATACATCTATGAAACAGAGAACCAAAAAATAATTAAATAAAAAAGGTATGAATAATAATAAATCACCCAACATGCGCCACGTTCACCGCCAAAATGCACAAATCAATTACTTCTTCATAAGTTAAACAAAAGGGCATAGATTTCACCATTAATGAAAGTCAGCTGATTTGCATGTTTCACCAAAAAAAAAATTAATCTTTTTTAATTTTATGATTCACGGAAATAATTAAAAGAAATTTAATCAACAGCTGTCATTATTAACCATCAACAACAAGCATAAGCACGATTAGAAAATTGCATAAACAAAAAAAAAAAAAAAAAAAAAAACAGATCTAAAATTGATTAAAAACATAATTACAATGCCAAATTCAACATCAACTTATCGATAATTAAACAACATTGGATCATAAAATATATACAAATTGTCAAAAAGATTAAAACTTTCAAGAACATTAAAGAAGAAAACAAAATTTGCACCATTTTACCTGAATCAATTGAGGGCGGAAATGCAGAATTAATCTGAAAGATTGGAAATTTGAGAACGAAGCCTTAAAAGAAACGCCTTATAATCTGAAAGAAACGGGAGGAGAAACGGGAATGAAGGAGAAAGAAACGAGCTTTTGAAGCGAAGGAAAGACGGCTGAAGAAAAAAGCAAATAGAAAGCGAGAAATGAATTGAGAGAAGAGAGAAATTTTGCGAACAACTCTTTGTATATATAGACTTTCATAGGTTTTCTAGAAGACGTGCTTTACAAGGAAATTTGGACGGGGTTTTTTAGCTCCAATTAGAAAGAATATTTTTCACATTAGTTTTATTTATCGGTTTTTTATTTCAATATTATATGTGTATATATATTTCAATCTTAGCTACTTGCATTAAAATTATAATTATGATTTATGATAATAAAATATTCATCACTCTTAGAAACTATGACTAATATGAGTGTCACTTGTGTATGTACTTCACCAACTTTAGAGTTAAATTAGCATGTTATTCCATCAAGATTGACTTTGGCCTTGTTATTAAGGCACATAAGGTGATAATCATAGGCTAAACATAAATAGAAGATTTCAAATTGTTGCATTGATATGCAATCACATGATTTATATGATGTGATTAATTAGGATACATGATTGCATTGTGTTTGAATAATGAGGTGGACATTAGTAAGAAATGAGATTTTTTTGTGATTTGATTGGTTGCCTTTTCATAAATTTACTATTCTATGATAATTTTCCTTATACAATAAAGATGCTAGCAATCATTTTTATATTATATCTCGGATAAGAATGATGAAAGAAATAAAATTATGCTCCCATTCATGAATCAAAAGACTTTTAATAAATTGACATTTATGCGCCTTTCTTTACAAAGAGATGCCAAAATGCGGTGACTTTGTTAATAGCTATGCGCAATTTTAAACATATTTGAGCAATAATACATGTAGTTTTAAACTTATTGGCCCTAAAATAATTATGACTTATTTGACTAGCTTAGCATAATTTTTAGCTATATATGAATTGAAATAAACATACAACTCAGAAATTCTTACAAACTTGTAAGAATTTGAATAAAAATATATGTATTTACGGATTATCTATTTTGTTAATCATAGCGGCCAATATTTCATATCAATTATGCCTGAAATCAACTATATATTAATAATGTGAGGTACGACTATACATACTTTCTTGAGATAAATGATGTAGTGTTGAGTGATACTCTCCTAATCTTGCTCCACATTAACATAATATACTTGTATAATATGTCTGTACAAAACTATCCGAAAATCCGATCCGCAACTGATCCGAATATTTGAATATCCGATCCGAGTTTTCATTTCGGATCAGATATCCGATCCGAAAAGGCGGATATCGGATGCAGATTTGGATATTGATTTTCAAAATTTCGGATATCCAATATCCAAAATATAAAGGCTGAAATAATGAAATATATATAAAAATTTAAATTGTTCATATAAAACTGACTCTTTATTATTAACTTATTATAATATTCTGAATATGTTTGATGATAATTTTTATTGCAAAAAGACTACTATTTTGTTAAAATATGTTGTACAACTTAGTGATAAAAAAAGCGGTAAAATTAGTGAAATTAGAAAATAATCATAATCAATTTTACTTAATGTTGGATAATGGATATCCAAATCATCCAATCCAGAATTTTTGGATATCCGAATATCAGATATCCGAAATTTTCTGATAGGATTTGGATATCAGTTTCTGATATCCGAATATTCGGATATTCGATCCGTAAACAGGCCTATTGTATAACATTGGTATGCTGTGTGACATTTTGCTACATACATCTTCATTCTTCAAAAAAAAAAAAAAAAAAAGTAGTAACATCTAGCTAGATTAATCGTACCACAGGACCATAACGACCGAAAGGCTCAAATAAAAAAATTAAGAAAGATTATGATTAAGACTTGCATGCAAAAATGGGCGAATATCCTAATTACTATGAATAATCCTAGAAATACGAAAATTGGCATAAAGGTGGAGTAGTTAATGTAATTAAGAACCTACTTTGCATATTAGGGCCCATTTTCGGCAATAATTTTTCATGTACTTTTTACTTTTTAGTAGAAGACAGTGTCAAGTGAAATAGTGATTCAAAGTAAATTAAAGAACTTAACAACAAAATTATGCTACGAGTAAATTAAAGTGACTACTTTTCAAATGACAATTTAACATTGCCAAAGTATTTCTTGCTGATTTTTTTTAAAGACACGTGTAAATGAGTAAGAGGAATGCGGAAGCAACGGAGGAGCAGCAATAATGCGTGACGTGGTGTAGTGTCATATGATATAAACTCCTTTGACTTTTCACCATCTTTACTTCGACGACCGACTTTGCCTCCCTCCACAAAACCGAAAGCTGGTGTCTTTTGCCAACTGACGTCGTTTGTTTGACATCTTTAATGGTGTACCCCCTTCGACGTGGCTCCACGTTGCGACAACGCTGTTAGTTCTCGTTGATTGATGCCAAAGCATAACTTACTCATCATACGATCCAACATTCACTCTTATTATTGCAGTATCGGATCTCACTTGTTACTTAAATGAGTATATAATAATCAAAGTTACGTTAATATTGTCTATTAATGGATAAATGCATGTAACATTTGTTGTTTTGTTACAATTGCAAGAGTCTATAACATTTGTTGTTTTGTTACAATTGTAAGAGTCTATAAACCCATGTTAATTAGAGCATTAATAAAAATTGGCAACCAAACTAAAATAGGGATTGCTTCATGCTTAATTTTCCGTAGTAAGTTATGAACTTATCTATGATCTAGCGTCTAGACCATCTACTTGTTGACGACTTATTAACTGTAATAATATTATGTTAATTAGTTCTATAATGTTTAGCCAAGATACTTAAAGACAGATGATTTAACTTCTTTTTTATACTCCATGGCATAATTTATGACAATTTGCTATTAGTGTGTGAATAGTTAAAGCGATCGAGTATACTTTTAAAGCCCTGATTTTCTTTATGCATGCAGTGTCAAGAAAAAAGAATAAAAAAAACAGACAAAATGTTCAACTATAAACAGACGTTACTTCAAGCACGTAGGCATAAATTATGAGGAACATGAGGATCTTTTGGGTCGATTCCATTCTCACTCCAAACCCCAAAATTAAAGCATGCATCTCATTTGGTCATTTCTCTCTCATTTATGCACTAAATGTCTAAATTTGATGCAAGAATCTAATTCCTTATTGGCTCATTGATTATCTCTATTTGAAATGTTTTTTTTTTGTTTTTGTTTATATAATACGGAGTATCACTTTGATCTTTAATTTAAGTCAGTAGAATATTTTTAAGATTTTAGCTTAGTAACATTAGTATTGTGAAGGTTTAAGTAATTAAATTGATAACTTGTGTCATCTAAACACCTATATAAACTAAAAAAAAAGGGGGGTATATTGTATTGATTTATACTAAGTACTTGAAGGGAAAAATATTGAAACGTAATGCAAAGGAGCTGAGAAAAAATTAAAGTAAAAAGAATAATTAATTACATTATTCTTAATTTTTTATTTGATTGGAAGAGTTTCAAAGGAGCAAAAAAAAATCCAAGGTGTAGCTAGCTAGGTGAACTATAGTGATAAGTAAGTTTAAGGATTATTTAATTATTAAATATATGTTTAAAAAAAAAAAAAAAAACAAACAAACAAACAAACAAACTTTTACGCGTTTATTAAAGATAATAAAATAATAGTACTCTCGATCTTGCTATGTCATCAGATCATAGCTAGAGTGATGTGTGTGTATTGACTTTTGTATATGTGTTTAATTTGCAGAGATATAATCATGTAATAAGGCTTCGTGATTAGTTTTTGTTTTGTGTTAGTAACGTAGTATATAGATTGGTGAATATTCGTTTCAAATTATAGGACTCTTGTTCAAACCTTGTAGAGACAAAGAAATTTAAAACAATTATTTTCTTTGTTTCCTTTATTATTTGACCTATTTTTTATATATATATTACCATGTTTTATAATTTTAACGATAATACTTTTATTAAAGTATAAAAAAATTTAAATATTTTGATAATATGTGTTAGAAATATATTACACAATTTTATATGGTTATGTTTAATCTTTTTACATAATTACGGGTCATAAGGAGAGCAATTGATAAAAGTAGTGCATAAGTCAAACCAAGTCAAGTATAAAAATAAAAAAAGTATATATGTGTTGTATAATGATCGAAATACTTTTAATTATTTGGATCAATGTGAAAGGTTTGCGTTTACTAAAAATCGCTTATCATTTGGATTTTATTTTAAGTCAATGTTAAAACTTCTTTCAATAATAAGGGAATCTTGCTACATGTATTATAATTCTATGTACCAACCGGTCCAATAAACAAGAGGAGGGAGAGGGAGAAAAAAATGGCACCTTGACCTAAAACAAATAAAAGCAAGGCTCTAGGAAAATGCGATTGGAGTTCCTTGATACAAGATATTCTCACCTGCTTTTCCTAGGTTGAAGAATAATGGTGCATAATTCTATATATAGAATGACTTACTAGACGATGGACTTCGTGGTTAATGGTGATTTAGTTAGTTAACTACTATAGTTAAAGTATATTATCACTCTCGATCTAATTTTTATTCATATCAATGTTGTTTGATAATCACTTGTTGATTGTTAGTCTGTTGTATATTTGCTCGATCATTTGATGACTAAACAGTATATTAATAGTGTTAATTGTTTGTATTGAATATTTTAGCTAGCAGATAGCGTGATAGTAGTCTGAAATTATTGATTTATCCAAAAAAAAAAAAAAAAAAAAAAAAAATGCCTATTATAATACATAGTAAGCTATGTTGCACGGATACCGACACGGACACGGACACGATACGGACACGGGAAAACGGCAATCCTGAAATAGGGGACACGGGTACGGCATATAACAAGGCATATAATATATCAAAAAAACGAGAATTTGACAACCTATTCAATAAAACACTAAATAATTAGCCTCAAAACACACAATTTTGTTAAAACAAGTAAATAAACAAAGTGTACGAACGTAGTCTCATACATATCAAGAAACCATCAAACCAAATACATGTCTTAATAATAGTTTTACAAATCATAAATAAAATAAACAAAAGTACTAATAGTTTCATTCTTCACCATCACCAGAGAGATTAGAATTGGCAGCCATTGTATATGAACTAACATAGTAAGGGTTTCTAGCAAGATTAAAAGGCAACCCCCCTGTGTAAAACATTCTAGCAATTTCAGAATCCAAGTGGTCACGAGATTTCACATTAAAAGCATCGGAAATTGTATTTTTTGATTTCCTCTTCTTTACATTATCAAATGAACCTAGTCTCATTGATGTAGCTTCAGTTGATGTGTGAGAAGATATGGGTTCATTTGAAAAAGGTGGAACTTTTGGTAACAAAGATTTTTTATAATCCTCGGATTCACGATGAAGCGATCTTAGTTTAGCAAGGTCATCAATTTTCACTTTATTACAAGTTTGAATCCCTTTCCCTTGTTCACCTAGCAAATGAGCTTTCACTCTAGTGTATGAACCATTTTTAACTTCGCCGCAAAAGTTACATTTCCAATTATAATTTCCTCCACCACCCGATATTTTATCACCCTTAACAACAAACTTCCACAAAGGGTAGAGGTCTTTCATTGACTCAGATGAATTACTACTACCACTGACATTGCATGAAGCAGAGGAACTAGAAGACATTCCTGACAATTTCAGCAACACAACAGCACATTTCAGCAAGACAACACAGCAAAGTGAGCAACACAACAATACAATTTCAGCAACCAGCAAGTCAGCAATACAATTTCAGCAACCAGCAAGTCAGCAACTCAGCAATACAATTTCAGCAACCAGCAAGTCAGCGAGTCAACAATACAATACAATTTCAGCAACCAGGGCACAATACAATTTGACAGCTGAACCCATCTCACAATTAACATCACAATTAACAATTAACATCACATTTAACAATTAACAATTGCGAATTACAGTGATACTGCCTCCACGGCTCCACCTCACAATTAACATCAGCATTCAGCAATTGAATTTCAGAAAACAAAGTACAGAAGACAGAAGTCACATAACCCTTACCTGGTGGTGGACTGGTGGCTGGCGAGTGGCGACGGACGGTACTGGGTGGTGGACTGGTGGCTGAGGACGAACAACGACAGCCTGAAACCTAGGTTGAGCGAGTTAGCGACTAAATTAATTGAATTTAAAAAAAAAACAAAGTACAGAAGCCAGTCAAGCCACGGCCTAAAACCTAGGTTGAGCGAGTTACCTGGTGGTGGTCTGGTGGACTGGTGGCTGGCGACACTGGGGTGGTGGCTGAGGACAAACAACAAGCGGCGAGTGAAGTCTGTGTCTCTGTGAGAGTAGGCTGTAGGCGACGAAGCGACGGTGAACTGAGTGACGGTCTGGACCAGCAGCAGCAGGTGAAGCGACGGCGGTTATCGGCGCGACGGTGAGTGGCTGACGGTCTGGGACTCAGGGAGCTTGAGTAAGGCAGTAGGTTTGTGAATTGTGAATGGAGGAATTGAGAATGTGAGAGAGTCAGAGAGAATGGAGGAAGTTGGGCTTGTAAAGCCGTAATTGCGTGTCCATCACAAAACGGACCGTGTCTGGGTGAGACACGACCCGTGTCCGTACAGAAGAAATTCAAAAAAAAAACGGACACGGATTTTCGCGTGTCCAAGACGTATCCCCCCGTGTCCCACGCGTGTCCGTGTCCGACACGCGTGTCGACTCGGACATGCCACTTGGCAGGCGTGTCCGTGCATCATAGATAGTAAGTACATAAAAGCATCAAGTACCATGTATTGATTTAAAAATTATAATGGAATATTCCATAAAACATTGTCAATTCAATACAAGTATGATTCCCTTGAACCATTAAAGATTGAAATAAACCCAAAAAGCTGATGAATTTGGGAAAGGTAATTATTAAAAGATATTCCTAAAAAGGATTTGACTTTAATTAGCTTTACCCTGCTGAAAAGCAATGCATGTATCATGCATGTATTGCGCTGAGCCGTATGAGTTGAAAAATTCAGCTGACAACTAATTGCGTACTTCCTTTGAAATTTGTCTTTGAGAATCCCATTATTGCCGTGGGTGTGGATTACTTTTATTCTCGGGTGATGATTACTGAAATATAATACGAAAACTTGATCACCATTATTCTTAATCAACTATATCAACTGTGGGTAAGATATGCATGTTCATATATATATACATTGATACACATTGCTACATATGGACTACCTTTATCAAGAGAGGATATTTTGTGTCATCCATCTGTCTATTAGGTTATACTACTCGTATGTAAAACAATTCTAGTTGAATACAGAAAACTTTTAAACTATTTATTTGATAGATTTGCTTCAAATTACGAAATCATAAATAACAATCAAAGATTTGTATTAAGCACCTAAAAAAAACTGTTTAGTTATATAATTAGTATATGCTTAAATTTCCAAATGAAAAAGAGGTGATTAGAAGCTAAGTGTAAAAAGTAATTTGATTAAATTTAATTATCTTGTATATGACTTAATTACTTGTATAGTTGTATTATAGTAACAAAAATCAAGGAGAATTCAAGAAAGAGACCTCTCCATCATATATGTGGGTAGAATGTGAAAATAATAAGAGAGTAAAATACATGAAAACAAATGTATGTCATGTATTTTATGAGAAAAAACATATTCATTTGTAATAAAATGCCTATGATGACTTTCAACCTCGAGCCCTAACTTTTAGGATTTGAGAAGTCAATCTAATTATTATAATAGTACAAGATAATAAATAAATTGAGATCGACAAGCAAAAGTCACCATCTTGTTTCCAAACAAATTATGGGCTAGAATCCCATTCAAAAGTACTAGCATTTGTTTTTTTTTTTTTTCGTTTCACTTCCATTGTCTTCTTCCCTACATTGATGCAAACAGGGTAACAATATAATAAAATGGGTTACATCTGAGTCAGCTCCTCATCACTTATCATTTTCATTTCATAAGGTCCACATCAATTTTGTAGTTTCTTACTACGAAGTAGTTTAATTAATTATTAGTGGGACCTTTTAAATTTGTAAGAAAAAAACCAAAGTTCCATCAATCTCTTAGAAAAGCACCAACGTTTGTTTATATTGGTTCCCATTTTTGATGGGGTTGCTTTCTTTTAGGTTTTTTGTTTCACACGACAACATTTCGCCTCATATCATATTTATTTTTTGCAATTGGCTGCCTTGATTTTGTGCTGCCACTCTCTAATCTATATTGTTGTCTTCTACTATCACTAGAATTCACTACCCTAAAATGTTGAAAATAAACAAATAAAAAATAAAAAAAAAAAAAGGAAAAACTATTCTGATCGAAAGAGCATTAATATTTCAAAGTATATAATGTGCTATGTTAATGTAGGCTTAACAGCTTTACCCACCTTAATAATGGACCATGTATATATAAGTACCATATAATCATATATTTCTCTTTTCTTATTTAGCGGAGATAACAATCTTTATTACAAATTATAAGCCCTTTTTTACAAGTAGTGTTTCGGGTGAAAACAGTGGGACCTTGTCGAAGGTCCGATGAAGTGGAGAAGACTAGATTCGATCCAAGTAATGTTGGGCCGAAGGTTTCCTGCACAGTAAACACACGTAAACTAGCCTCGGGGGTGTTGCCGAGGAAGGCCCCTCCGATGCTAAAGTCAGTACAGTGCGTAGAAAGAGAACACTATGCAAGAGAATTTGTTGCTTGAGGCTTTTCTTGAATGAATGTACAAATGTAATATTGATGGCTTTTATACCTCTGCATACATGGAGAAGTTGGGCCTTAGCCCAATTGGCTAACCTTGAGGACTGATCTTTGACTTTAGCAAAATTGGAGAGATGAACCTTGACCTTGGGCTTTTAATTAGATCATTTAATGCCTAAGCCCAATTGGACTAAATTGGACCCAAACAACTTGCCCCCCAGACCCGATTTGGAAGGATGACGGGTCGGGTTTGATTTAATCAGAAAAGGAGGGAAGTGAATGATTTAATTAATCCAAAAATTTGAATTTAAACCGTAATTAAACCGTAATTAATGAGATAACAACAGTTAAGGCGGATAATTGTGGAAGTTGGACGGATAATGGGCAATTTAATCGCAAGGTCGTGTGTTTAACGGTTACTTAGTGGGGTATTTAAGAGAAATTGAAACGGGGACTCCCCGTATTCCCATTTCTGGAGATATAATCAGAGGCGCGTCATCTCTCCTCACTTATTCACCAACACAAACCTAGAATTCTCGAGAGAACCCAAGAACCCGCATCAAAACTTCGCAAACTCCCCGAGCATTAAGCTTAGAAACTGAGACTTGCCACTACCAATTCGTAAATCGGCAACTTTCGCTTCAGATTAAGGTAAATTCCTTTGATTTTAGTTTATTTTTCTTCGAATTTGAACTCCTTCCCCTTTTTCGACTTTTTTCTTTGAAATTATCAATGGCGAGAGGAGTTAGGGGTAGAGCCCGTGCTCCAAGAAGAGCAAGGCCAATTCCCGATCCCAGGAACAGGATTGGGACCTGGAATGGACGAAGAGCAGAGTCTGACCCTGCTGAAGGGATCAGGGCGACTCCAGTTTCCTCGGCTCCTCCTCAGAGAACGGAGGGGCCGAGCGCTTCTGGGCGGGACGATGAAGTTCCCGCTGTCCTTTGGGATATCCTTCCCGGGTTTTCAGAGTGGGAGGATGCCGAAGTAGCTTCGGCCATGATAAAGAACCGCCCCTACTCATGGTGGGTGGAGAATGCCGAACAGTATCGGTTTGCCGAACAAATTGAGTTGCATTACGGCATCCTTGAAGCTGATGGGTATTGGTGCCGAATGCCCGTGGCATCCGATAGAATCCATCGTCCACCCCCGGGGTATGTGGGGGTGTACACAAGACAACTTCAGTATGGGCTGAGGTTCCCTTTGGACGTATTCGTCCGAGACTTGCTGATCCATTACAATATTTCCCTATGTTAGCTAACTCCTACTAGCATCCGAAGGGTGATGACATACTTATGGGTCTGCAAGTTCTTCAGGTATGTGCCGAACCTGCACTGCTTCAAAAAGCTTCATCGGCTAGTGCCAAATATTCAAAGTGGGCACGGAAGTCATGGTTCTGGGTGGTACCGGATTGAGTCTCGGCCCCAGTACCTAACCATGTGGTCGAACGACTCTTCAGACAAGGACTGGAGAGGTCAATGGATTTGGGTTAGGGCACCCACGGACCCGGGCCACCCTTGCGTCTTCAGCGCTCCCCGATACCTTGCTGAGCCTGATCCCGACATGGGAAGTTTAGGTCCCCCCGCAGATAACGGCCCAGATCCAAACCTTAATCAACAGAATATCTTCAGCAAGCTGCCGAACCGGGGGGGCAGCGGCCGAATGCAGCATATCCCGGAGACTTGGCTCCCCGATACGCATTATGTTTTCCGAGAGAACATGCTAGCAGCTGTCGGCCTCAGCCGAAAGTTTAAGGATGGTAAGCTTCTTCGGCTGGGGCCGAGGCTTTTTAATTATCTCTTTTTCTCCTCTCACTTCGCTTTTTTATGCTGTGCCAACCTAACTGAACTGACCTTTCTCCTTTTCTTTTTCAGAGCGGGACGAGACCAACGTCGGCATTAACTACGCTCGTCTTGGCGTCAACTGAGAACGAGTTGTAACTGATCGGGGCCCCTCTATCACTGAACCGCGGCATAGAGAAGCTCATCTAGACTCTTCCCACTTCCAAATTGAGGATGTTGCTCTGTATCAAAGGCAGAAGCCTTGGTGGAAGAAGAGAGATCCCTGGTTTCAGCTGCTGGACGAAGAAGCTGAAGCTGCCCGTACGGCCAAAGAGGTTGCACGGGTTATTGAAGCTTGTGAAGGAGGAGAAGGGTCCTCCAGGGCTGCTGAAGAAGAAGCTGCAGCTAGGGCAGCTGAAGAAGACGAGGCTTTGCTGAAGACCTCGGTGAGCTTTCAGACTTAATTTTGTCTGTTTCTGTTTGTTGTTTTGTTTTTACTCACATTCTTCCTCCCCCCTGTCTTTACAGTCTGAAGAGAGTAATAGACACAGAGAAGGGAAAGCCCCTATTCGTCCCGAAGACCAGATACAAGAAGAGTCCTCAGACTCAGACATGGACGAGCAGCCGCTTCAGAAAAGGCGCCGAAGAATAGCCATCATCGCCCCCCATGACTTTCAGCGGAGGCCGATGACCATCGGCGTCGAAATAAGGGAACCCGAGGAAGGCAATGGATCGCCGAGGGTTCCCCGGCCACCACCTCAATCACCTCCAAAGACCCCTCTGCCACCTCCCGAGATGGAGGTGGATCAGAAAACTCCTGAACCTAAGGGAGGGGTCCAAGAAGAAGTTCAAGAGAGTGCTGCTGAGCACAAGAATGAGGATGCCGTGATGCCCAGTGCTGAGGGTTTCACGGCAGACATTGCAAGAGAGGTTGAGGCTTTCGTCCTCACCCCTGAAGAAGAAGAGGTCATAATAATTGACTCTTCTGAGAAGGAGGATGCTGAGCCATCCAAAGTTAAAGAAGCTCCGTCGTCATCCTTTCCTTCCTTCCAGACTCTGCAATCTGGAGAAATGGGTTTCTCGGCCCCCCGAATTCCAATCCCATATCACATCTGGACCTCATATGGGGTCAGAACCGAGAAGGTGCTGCAGCCTACTTCGGCGATTTTGCTGGCACGTCCGAAGTAGATAGGGCAAGAATCTGGTCGCTGAAG